GACCTGCCAAAACTCCTCTGGGCCGTGCACAAGGAGAGCGGGCAGGTGATGGGCACCCTGAGAGATGACGGAACACTTGGGAGGGGGCATGGACTGGTTTGGGTGGTAAGTGACCTTTTAAGGTCATGCAGTCCAACCCCCCTGCAGGGAGCAGGGACATCTGCAACTAGAGCAGGTTGCTCAGAGCCCCAGGCAACCTCCCCTGGAATGGTTCCAGGGATGGGGCAGCGACCACCTCTCTGGACAACCTGGGCCAGGGGCTCAACACCCTCAGTGTCAAGAATTTCCCTTCCCACTGTGCCCACTTGCCAGACGCAGGGCAGGGTTGAGCCTTCCAGAGAATGGGAAACGGGAACTACAATCTGCAGGGTGCAAGCCCAGCACCCAATCCCTCTGTACCAGCTGCCAGTGCAGGGAGGGCAGAGGCCCGTGTGGGGCAGCTCCAGGGCGGTTTCACCTACAACGTGGCAGGAGACAAGCCACAGAGACACTTTTCCACAAAAAACCCACCCAGCTGTTTAATGGCACAGAAGCGACCCTAAAAAAGTCCCCAGCGCCACCCCCTCCATCTTCACGTGAAGTAGTGCGGCTTTTTCACATTGATGCCGTATTCTGCCAGTGCCGGCGTCAGGTCTTCCATGGTCAGCGTGTACTTCTTATCCTGAAGGGATGGGAGGAGCGTCGGTGGCAGCCTCAGCTGCTGGGCTCCTCAGAACCCCGCAGGGTCGGGATTTCCCCGTACGGGCACAGCAGCACGCGGGGCAGTGACTGGTGCTCAGGCACTGCCCGTCTGTCCCGTGTGCCCCGGGCTGCCCCGTGGACGGAGGGCACCTGGCATTACTCAACACCACAGAGATAAATTCCATCACCCACACGAGGCCCCAGACCACAAACAGCTGACGATGGGGGGGCTAGACAAGAGGAACTCCAGAAGCCCTTTCCAACCCCTACTGTGCTGCGAGTCCCAGGAGCTACCGCCATGTGTTTGCTCCCTGCTGACATTTCTCGCCTGGTGGCAGTGGGGTCAGAGGGGGACATGGGGCTCGGTGGCCCTCGGGCTCACGGGCTGCAGCTCCTCACACGTTCACCTGAAGCCATCAAACCACACCCTACTAGTTCCTCTGCCCACCTCATTTCTCCTCTTTGCGCCAGCACAGCCCTGGCTGTGACCCTTCAGGAGCACAGCCCGGCAGGTTTAAGCCTTTCCACGCTCGAGAGCCCGCACCCAGCCCCAGGAGAGGACACCCCCCTGTCTGGGCAGCAGAGCCATGCCCCTTGCACCTTGCTCTTGTTGCGGGAGCTGCCCGAGGCTGTTCCCTTCATCTTGCAGTGCTGCAGCGCATCGTTGGCGATGTCAGAAATGAACTTCTGGGCAGCCAGCGAGATCAGGCGGATGCTGAGGAGAGGAGGGACAGGGTCAGCTGTGCAGCACCGAGCACTGCGGGGACGCGGGGTTCCATGGCACTCCGGCTGTCAGACCCTGTGCAGGGTCTTCAGGGCCACGCTAGGCCACTTACATGCGTGGGTCAGAGGCCTCAAATCCTGCACGGTTCAGGTAATACCCCGTGACGGCATCTGGGATCTGCATGGGAGAGAAGCTGTAGGAGCTCTGCTGCCCTGCAGCAGCCACTCATCGGATCCCAGAATGGCTCAGGCTGGATGGGACCTTAAAGCTCCTCTTGATCCAACCCCCCTGCCATGGGCAGGGACATCTTCCACTACATCAAGTTGCTCAAAGCTCCATCCAGCCTGGGCTTGAACACTGCCAATGATGGGGTACCCACAGCTAGCCGTTCTCACCAGCCTCTCAGTGAAGAGCTTCCTAATTTCTAATCTAAATCTTCCCTCTTCCAGTTTGAGCCCCTTATCCTGTGATGACCAGTAGCCCTGTAAAGTCACCCCTTTGGCCATCCTCACACAGGGCAGTTCCCTGTACCCCAGCTGGATCACAGAATGGGTTGGGCTGGAAGGGACCTTGAAGATCATCCAGTTCCAACCCCCCTGCCATGGGCAGGGACACCTCCCACTAGAGCACATTGCTCCAAGCCCCATCCAGGCTGGCCTTAAACACTTCCACTGATGGGGGATCCTCAGCTTCCCTGGGCAACCTGGGCCACTGTCTCACCACACCCGGTGTAACCTGTTTCTTCCCCAGCCCACCCGGCGTGTCCGTCTGTCCGTCCCACGTACCGTGGGGGTGTAATCCTCCAGCTGCATGAGGAAATCCACCAGCGGCGTGGACGAGACCACCGGCTTCACATCCCCGTTGGCCGCACTGGGCGGCACGTACACGCCGTTGGACATCGCCCCTTCGGGGGGGGCCGCGGCCACCG